AAGTTGAAATCCTAATTAATTAAACTAAATGTAAAATTTTGTTCTTCAGCAGCATCAGCTACATTTCAAGTATTCAACAGTGAAGTGTCCTAGTTGGCTAAGACAGTGCAGATTATAGAACATGCCCATTCTCACACTATGTTCTAATAGACAGTGCTGATATACAATATCATCTTAGAGAAAGAAGACTTTAGGAAAAGTCAGAAACATCTTAAGGCAGGCACAGTGCTGTCATCTGTTCAATATTAAAGATAGTTTAGGACTAAAAAAGAAGAATGTAACAAAGAGGAGAAAGATAGACAGGTGGTCTTAGCCATTGATGGATCTACCCAGGGAAGGGCAAAGGCATTCTTATAGCTTAATATTATGATGCATTTAGCTTTTCAACTCTTTAAGACATTAGAATAAGTTGATACATAGAGTATCTAAACCCCAGAGGAGTATCTATAGCAGTTGGAAATAGAAATAGGATAAAAATTAACTCGTTACAAACTAAGTTTCATCACACATCATTTAAATAACACTATTTACTCCATTTACTTAGTTTTCTATAGTTTGTTTTTTGCTCTATATAGCAGGACATAATCTTTAAAGGGAGATTTAAATACTTCTGGAGATTTTTCAGATAAATTCACATAGCCACATAAAAACTACTTTAAAAAGGTAGTTTCTTTACATTTTTCATTAACCTATTCAAATTAATTATATAAAAATCCAAGAATCTACTTATGTTATTGCTTAGTCGCTAAGTTATATCTGACTCTATTGCAACCCCATGGACTGTAGCCCACCAGGCTTTTCTGTCCATGGGATTTCCCAGTTAAGAATACTGGAATGGGTTGCTATTTCCTTCTTCAGAAGATCTTCCTGACCCAGGGATCTAACCAGCATCTTCAACATTGAAAGGAACATACTTTACCACTGAGCCACCAGGGAAGCCCCATTATATTTAAAAAAAACAAAAAACAAAAATTCATACCAATGGAGGTGGCTATTTCAATGAACTCTTACTCTGAAAATTGGTAATTAAAAAAAGTGAGGGAAATAAACACATATCCTGTCTTTCTATAAGGAACTATATTACAGGATAATCAAAGAGCCTACTAGTAAGAAAAATATCCAGTTTATAGAAAAATGTCAGCTAAAACATACAGATGGAATTAGAGAATTTGAAACTCATCATTCTGAAATCTCTAATGAAATAATCAGTTCAAGTCAGTAACATTAATGAATGCTAAAACAATCGGGTAAACGTTGATAAGGAACCGAATATTCACATGGTATGAATTAACCCCATAGGCTACTGCTAGTCCCAAAGGGGAAAATAACGGACCATACCACCGTATCTCTATAATCATCTCAGAATCACGAATGATGAAACAACCAGAGATTATGTTTCCTTGTATTATGCAACTGATTACACACCATTGCCATGAAATAATCTTGCAAAAAGAAAAATATTAAACCTGAATCTAATTAAGCCTCTAGACTGATTTCTAGTTCTCACACACACACATACATAGAGGAAACAGAATGAAAAGGTAAATGACACCATAAAGAAGTAATCAGAAAATTTCAGAAAGGAGGTGGAAGAGACATTTTATAGAAAGATAACCGACCTAGTCTCTTCAAGTCAACTTCATTAACAAAATGAAAATAAAGAGGGAGGTACTTTCTAGGTTAAAAGAAGACCTAAGACAAATGTAATGTGTATTCCTTGATTATAAGAAACAAGTTCGAACAAATCAGATATAAAAGACATTTCAGAATAACTCGGGAAATCTTAAGGTAGACTTGGTCATAACTAATATAAGAAATATTTTTTAAATTTTGTTTGGGATGTTAATGATATTGTAGTGAAGTAAAAGTTACTCAGTCATGTCTGACTCTTTGCAATCCCATGGACTATACAGTCTATGGAATTCTCCAGGCCAGAATACTGGAGTGGGTAGCCTTTCCCTTCTCCAGGGGATCTTCCCAACCCAGGGACTGAATCCAGGTCTCCTGCATTGCAATCGGATTCTTTACCAGGTGAGCCACAAGGGAAGCCCTAACGATATTATAACTATCAAGTAAAATGTTCTTCTTTTTTAGAGATTCATACTGAAGAACTTGTAGGTAAAATTTCATTTTTTAAAATATACTTTAGCCCCTCAAAAAGATGAACCAAATATAGAAAAATGTGAACAATCCAGGACAGGGTTATATGGATGTCATAATCTATTCTCTCCACTTTGCTGAAAGCTTATAAGTTTCATAGCTTTATTACAAAAATTCTTTAAATCTCAAATTGTACAGTTATTTGTCCAATCTATTTCAAACTCTATGAGATATTAAAACATTAACAGGGTAGTTTTACCTTCGAAAGATTGAAGGCAAAAGCAGAAGGGAGTGGCAGAGGATGAGATGGCTGGATGGCATCACTGACTCGATGAACATGAATCTGAGCAAATTCCAGGAGACAGTGAGGGACAGGGGAGCCTGGCATGCTGCAGTTCATGGGGTTGCAAAGAGCCAGACATGACTTAGTAGCTGAACAACAACAAGTGTATTTTATCATTTCAGAAATCCTTAAAATTTCTGTTTTCATCCAGTAACTATATAATCAAAGAGCAACTATCATTTTTTATAGAAAATGTGCTTTGTAAAATTAACTTTTTCTATTAAAATCAAGATTTTCCAGAGAGAGAGAATGCAGCCCACCTGGTCAGATTCAAGTCAGTTCAAAGAGAATAAATTCTACATTCTACTATTTTTCTAAGTAGTTTATGAATATCCAATGGGAAATCAAAAATGGCCAAAGGATTTGGAATCTAAGTTCCCTATTCCTGAGTAAGGTCAGCAAGTCAAGTCAGGAGGTAAGTGTATCACCATCAATTTGCAATCATGCAAGACCAATTTTGCTTACAGTGGTCCCTTTAAACAACCTTTCTCCTGAAGTCAGACTTCTGATTCTCCACTTTCCTTTATCAAAAGCTCCAAAGAAGGTGAACAAAATGAGGAAAAGATTGGAAAAAATTGGTTGTTTGAAATCTTGATAAAGTCAATCATCCCTTTCCCCCATGCCCATCCATCCTTGAAGTAATACTTTCAGATTATTTAAGAGATGGTGCTTCTGTGTGGACTTTAGTTTGTCATTCTTTCCTTCATAACTGCTAGATTAAATTTGACTCTATTTTAGGCATATATTAACATATGCTAACTATCTCCTAAAATAAACTCCACTCTTAATGTGTATTTATCAGAGAAGACGCACTGAAGTAGGAGACTGAAGAGTCCTTAGGGCAAAGTGTGCCAATAGATAATACAGCATAATAATAATTTGCCCATGCAAATCACCAACTATAGCTCCAAAAACATCCAGACCATAATAAATACTGGACAGGCTATGTTTCTCTCCTTAGAAAAACTGGCCCAGGAAGGAGTATGAAAGCTGCCACAGCTCTTACAAGGCTCATTATTCTCCATCATTCCATGGGAACAGCTTTGTCAGACAAGAGTAAAGACTATTTGTCAACCTCTCTCCAACTGTCTGATTCAAGCCAACTTTCATCAATCCCAAGTGAGGAGCCAGAGAGAAATACAAGTCTTGTCTCTTCAGCAGCATCATCTGCTGGGGCTAGAGATCACAACTCCACAACCCAATGGGCTCCCAGTCCCCTCGCCCCCACTTCCACCCAAACCAGGCCCTGTTTTTACCAACTGCTTTTTGGTTATTAAAAAAAAAAAATCCTCTTTCCCTATCCGGGAAACACTGAGAACTGGGAATTATAGTAGATAAATGTAAAGAATGAACAACCTTAATGCTGTTTTTTTAAAGCAAGACATGAGAAAATTAAAAACGAGTTGGAAAGGAGGTGGGAAGAAATTCAAATGCCAGGTAATTGTTTAGTTTCACTTTTTTAAATGTTCATATTTATTTATACTCATTTATTTAAACCTCTGCAGAGGTCTCCCTTAAAGAAAAGTTCTATGTGTGTGGATCTGACTGTATTAAAAAGGCTGAAAATCCTCATTTAGACAATGTTTCCCACAGAACTCAGGGACCCTTGAAGTTAGGTATTCCCCTTGAGATGCTGCTGGCTTTGGAAAGGAGGAAATCAGGGTATGAGGATATGCCAAAAGGTGCATCAAAGTGTAGGACAGGAAGAAAGAGGGGAGAAGGAAAAAACTCAAGGTCTGAGAATTCAGATAGCAAAAGGAGACTACATAGGTCGTGGGAAAAGGGACAGAATGAAAACTGCAAGGGAAAAGGGGCCTGACATGTTGTCAACTGTCAAAGGGCATCTAGGAGAGAAATTGGGAATAGCTTTAAGAAAAGCATGGCAAATCTCATTTCCGACCATTTAGGTTTTCCTCTGGGGAACTGAGATCCCAGTCTGTATAGTTTCAAATTGACCCCCACCCCCATCCCTTTCCTAGTCAAATCAATTATGAAATAACTCCACAAACCAAAGATATTAAAAACCTTCCCGCTTGCCAAATATGTCAGAGATAAACAGTGTGTGTGTGTGTGTGTGTGTGTGTGTGTGTGTGTGTGTGTTCTGAGCCAACACTACTGTTAAATTTGGCAGAGCGAAGATTTAGAGTGGAAGACTGCAAACAGAATACACGAGTGGTGGGGGGTAGAACTATATTGGTAGCTGGAGGGTAGTGAAAGCAATCAGAGCAAACATTTTTAAAGGGCCAAGGAAGAGAAAGTTGAAAAGAACAGCGAGCAGGTGCAAGACATGGTCAGAGTCCAGGGAGAGGTGAGGGCGATGTGGCATCCATCGGGATGCCCGGCGGGGCTCAAAGAAAGGCTAGGAACTCTTAAGGCCTTTCAGAGTGGCTAACACAACGTAGCCCAGGCGTCCCCGGTGCGCTGGGGACGTTGAGGGAGAGACAGTGGTGGGGCAAGGGTAGAAGGCCTGGGAGAGCAGCCGAGCGGAGGAGCAGGATGGGGGTCGGGGCTGGCTGGAGGAGGGGGTGGTGGACTCCACGGACAGCGGGTCACTCACCCCGTTGGCCGCAGCCATCTGCACCACGATTTCCGTGGCCGTCCTGCTGAAGTACCTGCCATCGCTGCCCACCACCATGGTGCAGCCCTGGCGGTCACGCAGGTCGATGGACGACAGCACGCTCTGGATGAAGTTAGGCAGGTAGTTGCGCTGGCCCTCAAAGAGCCCGGTGGGCCGCCGCAGCCCCCCGCCTCCGGCCGGCCGCTGGTCCTCGTAGGGTGCCGTGGGCACCGTCAGCACCGGGATGGGGCTCCCCTCCATGGCGCCTCCTGGCCGGTCCTGCCGCGGCTCCCGGAGCCGGAGGGAATCTGCAGCCCTACGGGGCCCCCACCAGCCTGGCTGCGCGCCCGAGCTCCGCCTCGCGCCGCGGCCCGCTCCGCGGCCGGTCCGCGCCCGGCGCCCTCCCGCCGCGCAGACCGCTCCTCCCTCTGCGCGCGGCCCCTAGCTGCCCCGGCAGAGTTTGGCCTCTACCTTCCAAGAAAGTTTGCTCCCGCCCAACTTCCTCTCTGGCCGGAGCGCTCGATGTGCCCGAAGCTGCTTCTTTCTGCTGGACTCACTTTCGGGGTGGCCCAAAAGTCCCTTCCCACTGCCAACTACCCTCACTGACTCTAGGACGCCTCCTGGCACCCTGAGCCTTCTCCGGGTGATCGCGTCTCTCCCGCACACGCTCCTTTAGAAAACAGCAGCGGGCTGGGGAGAGTTTGAGCAGGATCGGGGGTCCTCTGCTGCACCCACAGCCCCTCTCCCCTCCACCTGGCAGTCCCGCCTCCCGGCCTCCCAGGGAATGAGCGGTTCACAAGCACCAGTTTCTCTTTTGAACAAGGGCAGGGGTGGAGTTGGGAGGGGGCTGAAACCTTTTGCCATCAGAGAACAGCCCCAGCCAAAAATAACCCTGGAAAGGCGAGCTGAGAATTGTTATCTTCTGCCAGCGCTGAAATTGGAGGCTGGGCGCTTCGAATGTGTCTGTGTGTGTACACACACCCCCCACCACTACCATTTGTTGCAGGGAATCACATACTGTCAGGCCCTTCAATCCAGCAGGACCCACCCAGCTATCCACACTTTTCCCCAGGCTGTCTGAAGGCAGCACACTTCTCAGGAAGGAAAAAAAATTTTTTGCTTGTTTGTTGTGGTGGTTGCAACAGCAGCGACACTGACGCACAGATGCCTGTTTCCTTATTCTCACCCGCTCACCCTCCCCAGCCCCTGCTCCTGCTTAGCAACAGGCTGTCCCACACTGTACTTGTCCACACTGCCCAGCTCTCACCAGGATCCAATGCTTTCACTGGGAGGAGGGTAAAGCCCTTTGTAAGGTCCTATCAGGGATGAATGAACAAACCCAAACTAAACAAGGACTGGGTACCAGGAACTGGGCTTGTTCCTTTCACAGGCATTCTGGCATTCTGGTGGGAAGGGAGCTCAAAGAAGGGGGACTTCTCTCCATAAAGCCCACCAAAATATCCCAATTCAAGAAATTCCCTATAGAAAATCAGAGTGAAGAAAAAACAGGCAAAAACCATAAAGCCCCAAAACAGAAAACACAATTCTTTTTTTTTTTTTTTTTTAAACTTTTTGGCCATGCAGCATCTCCCCAGACCAGGGATCAAATTTGTGCCCCCTGCAGTGGAAGCACAGTGTCTTAACTGCTGGACCACCAGGCAAGTTCCAAGAAACAGTTCTTATTTTTGTTTCTATCTCTTTTCACTCTCATTTTTGCACCCGATAAAGTCACTAAAATCTCCTGCTTCTTCTTCTTCTCTGAATATCATCCACTTCCTGGGACTAAGCTCAATTTGCTGCAGGATTATAAAGTATTTGATCACAGTAAAATGACTGTGCCGAAGAATTGATACTTTTGAACTGTGGTGTTGGAGAAGACTCTTGAGAGTCCAGTGGACTATAAGGAGATCCAACCAGTCCATCCTAAAGGAGATCAGTCCCGGATGTTCATTGGAAGGACTGATGCTGAAACTCCAATACTTTGGCCACCTGATGTGAAGAGCTCACTCATTGGAAAAGACCCTGATGCTGGGAAAGACTGAGGGCAGGAGGAGAAGAGGATGGCAGAGGATGAGATGCTGGATGGCATCATCAACTCGATGGACATGGGTTTGGGTGGACTCTGGGAGTTTGTGATGGACAGGCAGGCCTGGCATGCTGCGGTTCATGGGGTCGCAAAGAATCGGACACGACTGAGTGACTGAACTGAACTGAACTGAAAATGACTGAGTAACTGTTCACACTTATGTGCTGTGTTGCAGTTGACAAAAGGCTTTACATCAGTCTTTAGAGACTCAAAACATCTAAAATAAGTAGTAGTGGCATTCATATCATTCCCTTTTACAGATAAGAATGAAGGCTTTCTGTGAGTTTGAAGGAAGTGGAGGAGATGGTCTACATTCAGCCCAAATTCTTATATGGCCCCTCTCCTTTTTATTAATATCTTTAAAGTGTGAAGTCATTAACTGAATCCTATTGACAGCAAAGATTTTTTTGTGTTTGTGTGTGTGATTATTGTTGTTGTTTTGTGTCCACCCTATCCTTAGGCACCCAAAAGTCCATTCCCCTGTAAATTAAAGTTCCTGACTTTATGGTTGAGGGAGGCTTAGCACCAAATAGAATGTCAATCCTTCTACTACAGTGTGGGATTCTTTTAATCACTACCTAATAACACTTCATTTTGCAGGGAAGCACAGCATCATTCCCAGAGGAAGAGAAAGTCATTAAGTGCCCAGTCCCAGAAAAGACAATCTTCAGACTTGGGGACTTGGCGACTCCACCCCCAAGCTTCAGAGATAACCAGAAGGTCTCCAGGACTCCATCTCTCCACTTCCAAGGCATGCCTCTCTTTTGACATCACCATCATTCTCTCCTGACACAGCCCAGCTCCTTCCCCAGGGCTGAGGACAAGTCAGGTACATCTCAGACAGGATTTTAGAGCTTTACCAGACTAAAGGAAAGCCTCTTCCCTTGTCCAATCCCCAAAGACCAGAGACTCTGACTAGTTCAGTTTGATGCGATGCACCCAACCACATAGCAGGAACCCCACAGTGAAAGGGGAAAAAAAATTCCTCTAAAGGCAGAGGGTGCTGGTCCCCAAATGGAGGAGAGATGGGCAAACGAACCATAACTGTCCACCACACAATTGACAATTCCACTGATCAAGTCTTTCGAAAATTTTCTTTTCTCTGAATTCATATAGCACTTAGTATCATTTATAAGGAATGTTCCATGTGCTGCTACATCTTGCAATAGGTTTTCTCTCCTCCAACTATATGTGGCTTGGAATAATTCCTTATCTTCTCCTTACCTAAGAATCATTACTATGAAATGGGGATTATCACAATCCCAACCTCATAAATTGCTGGGAGGATGAAAATATTAGTACAGTGCCTGACAAATAGGAAGGCACTCAACAAATGTTAGATATTCATATTATTGCCAGCAGTGTATTTGTCATTATGATTAATGTCCTATATAGTAAGAACTACAGTTTATATCTTTATAGACCAGCACTGTACTTAAACATTTTGAGCAAAGGTGATATTAGATAAAGTTTGGCTGAATTACTCTGTAGTTTCTGACAATGGAAATTCAAGGTATATATTTGTCCTTGAAACATAGAAAAAAGGGTTTCTGAACTAAAGAAATCTCTTCAAAGTTGCCCCTAATTTTCATCAAGTTAATTCCAAAAAATGTGTCACTGATGGAGAAAGGAATCTGAGAGGGCCTCACAGGTAAGAAATGCCTGCCCATAGTTGCTCACCGGTAAAATGAGGTCAGATTAGATCAGTGTTTCCCAAAGGGTTTTCCTCAGAACATGAGTGCCTCCCAAATGCTGCACAAAGAAGCATTTCACAGTGAAGTAACTTCTAAAACTCCCTCATGCTGTATCCCATTCTTGGAGTTTCCTGTAAACCTAAACCCACACCACCAGTTTGCTTGGGGAAAGGGACTCAGACTCAGACTGGGGCTGCAGCTGGTGACAATCTCCGCCCCCTTCCTGTGTCCTCAGTGGGCTAGGTCAGGGATAAATACTTGGTCCTGATTCTAAGGGGCTGGTCACCTCTTTGTGCTGAATTCACAATTTCTCTACAGCATGTGTCACAATGAAGTGCGTCCTGTGGGCCTGCAGGTGCCTTCCAGCCTCCTCTGAGTCTCTAGGTAACGTCCTCTCACTGAGAATTCTTGGCCTGAAACAGAGGCAACTGGTATATCCTTCCTTCCCCTTGGGATTTCCTTGCTCTCAAAAAGGTGTCAGTTGCCATCTTCCTGTAGAGACTATACTATCGGCTCAGCTACATCAGCCTTTCCCAAAAGGGAATTTGGGTAAAATCAGTCTTGAAACATTTCAGACTTTCTCCACCCTATTGTAGATTCACAAAGCATATTAGCATATGAAAGATTCCATGAAGTTCCGTAGGAAAAAAACCTGTTTAACTTTAACCCAGCATTTCTAAATTTTATTTGACCCTGGGGCCCATTTCCAAACCATCTATTAAGAGATCAAGGTCATCAATATTCCATGAAACGCTTTAGCTCTCTGGGGTCCCTTCCAGCCATATCATTCTACGATTTGCTTTTTTACTTATGAGGCATTAAAAGATTAATTCCTATCAGGCTTCCATTTAGGAACTTATCAGAATATGCAAACAGGAGCAGGTAAAATTGCCCAGTTTAAAAAAAAAATCCTTGAATGGTTTTGAGACTTATAATGACTTTTATATACATATATATTTTTATATATATACATTTACATATAATTTTATTTTCTGCCCCACCCCTAATCTCCTGGCTGACAGGAAAGGCAGGCACACATGTCTGGCCCTTGGTAGTTCTATATTCCTCCTGAGTCTGCTTCTGTGCACACAGGGCATGCTAAAAACATGCAGTAGACTCACTGACTCCAACAGCAGAAGAAATGCCAAAAGTACAGGACTAGAGGCAGAAAAAGCAGGTGGAAAATGTCATGAGGCAGTCCTCCAAGGAAGCGCTAGTTCCCTTTTAAATGTACCCAAATATCTTCTGGTGAGTGGGGAAAGTTAGTTACACATTTCTCCTAAAGTACTACCTTCCACTAAGCCTTCTGTCCCCCAACAAATGAAATAACACATACTAATTCCAACAGAACTTACGGTTTCTCTACTTCCTTCAGTATAAGGACACGAAGTGAATGTTCAAGTGATGGAAAGGCACATGTCACATGTGTATCTTATAAATGTTTGTGCACTTGTCTCTGATTTCTCACATTTGGGCTTCAA